GAAACCCACCAAATTTTCTTTTCTTTTTCTTGTCACTGCCATCAATCTGAAACCATGAAATAATTTTGGATACAACAAGCACATTAGTCTGCTGGATTTGCATGCATAACCATCATTTTTACTGCTTGACATATTCATGAATCTAAAACCTTAGATAATGCTTGTTGACTTTGTTATTAGCTTAAGATTATATAAAATGCCCACACAGAAAGACAAAAGGTGAATTTCTTGAACGTTAAAAAAATCTTAAAGAACTTGCTAGTAAGGTACTCTAACTAAAAGCATGGATTACAGCTCATAAATTACAATAATGATTATGCAGAAAGAGAAGTATTGAGTTTATTAATTGCACAATTTAGCATATTATCAATCCAAAACAATAGTTTATATTTATGATTTACATATCACTCTAATGATGAAATCAAACTGTCAAATTTATTACTTACTGTTCAAAATCTAGTACTGTTATTCACGAATGATATAAAAATTTAAAGAAGCTGATTATGTTTTATCCTGTATTTACCTTGAATGAAACATGGTTAAGCTTCCAAATAATAAAAAAAATATTAGAAAACCTGTGGTTTAATGCGAGTGTACTGTTGACCCACTTATCATGCCCATCAGTTCAATATCCAATGTTGATAGTATATTGTCATATCAAGGAATACTCCATCATCCAACATTTCATGGAGGTGTATTTTCAGATGAGGCTAAAAAAAACATTTACAGAAGTTAACATAGTGTCTTTGTTAGCATCAATTCCGAACTAATTAGAGTTTCAATGGATAATCACCACTGAAGTGACCAAAAGTCCTTTGTTAAAAAAAGTTAACAAAACAGTTCACTAACTATAACATGAAAAGAACCAGCGAATCCCTCTTGATCTCTTTTAACATTTTTGTTTTGATGATGTGGATCGTATTGTACTTCAACTTTATGTATTTAGAATAATTTATTTCAAAATTAACATAGACTTCTCATAACTTTCATTATTTTTTACAATTGTGGCCGTTTGGATAACAATGATTTGTATATAAGACTCAAGAACTCTAAAGAGTATTTTCAATTCTCTCTTCATTGACCTCCTTTTCTCTAGGATCAGCCTTCTCTCTCTTAAAATCTCTCTGCATAAAATGTTACTCCACCAAAGAAAATCCCTCTAACTTCTCAAATTATTTCTCCCTCCTATCCAATAACTCTTCTCTAGACTTTTCACCTATTTGAATTCGTTTATTTGGAATCTTGATCCCCATACTCTCTCTAAAATCCATTATACATTCTCCCTCAATGAGAAAGCCAAAATACCCTAGCCTTCTTTTAATATCTCTCACAAAAACGCCTGACTCTAATTTGCTACTCTCGGCATCTCTCTATCCAACTCTCCATTCTTAATAAAAATGATATAATTTTCATTCTCTACAGATAATTCATGCCTTTGTCACTTATTACATAACACATGGTTAAGGAAATTGTTATCAGTACAATTTCCAGCACATCACATGCTTTTATCTCCTATACTTCACCACACAACATTACATAGCACCATCTATGTTATCAAAGCAAATAAGCAATCAGTATGAAAACCTTCATTCATGAGCCTGAAGATGGTTGAAACAACAAGCCCTTGTGCCCATACATGAGATCGGCTATATGATTTTTTTTTCTCATTGTGTTTTATAAAGGATCAAATTCTCAATTATGCAAAAATAATTTTTAATACTTTCTAAGCAAGTCTTTTTTTTTCTCTCCACTCTAAACCTTTCTTAACATAGGCCGGCTCTAATACATCTACTCTCTTAATAGTCTCATCCAAAGCCCAACGATTTATGCGACCAAACCATCTAAGGCGACTCTCTCTAATCTTATTTGTCACTGGAGCTACTCCAACTTTTTCGTATATATACTCATTTCGCATTCTGTCTCTAAGTGTAAAGACACTCATCCAACAGAGCATCCTAATCTCTGCAACACGCAACTTAATTTTATGCTTCTTAATAGCCAACATTTTGTGCTATAAATCATTTCAAGTCTCACCACCCTCTTATAGAATTTTTCATTAAGTTTGACGGGTACTTTTCTACCAAAAAATATGCATGATGCATTCCTCCATTTCAACCATCCAACTTGAATTCTAGTAATAATATCCCCCATCTATTTCACCATCGCTCTGAACAATAGACCCGATATATCTAAACATGCCCTCTTTTTAATGCACCCAATGTCACAATCCTACAAGTAGATCGATTACTAAAAAATTACACTCCATGTATTTGGTCTTAGATCTACTCAAATGAAAACCTTTAGACTCTAAGGTTGACCTCCATAATTCAATTTTCTCTTCAACTCCCTCTCTAGCTTTATCAACAACAAGCATACACCAAGGTACATCCTCTTGCAAATGTCTAGTAAAAATATCCATGACTAAAGCAAAATTAGAAGTGCTTAAAGATGATCCTTAATGCACTCCAACTGAAATATAAAAAACTTGGTCAAAGTATCTTAAGTTTGAACACAAGTAACAGTTCAAATATACATATCCTTAATAGCTTGCATATAATCAATACTAACTGCTTTCTGTTCTAGAACTCTCTAAAACACTTCTCTTGTACCTTTATCATATGTTTTATCTAAATCAATAAATATTATATGTAGATCCTCCTTACACTATCTATATTATAATACAATAAATTTTATTTGTCAACAATAAAAAATCAGAGACAAATTTTCATTATTTTCTTAGTCATCTTAAATTATTAGTGAGACATTCTACAAAAAGTTTTTATGAGATGTTTATTAATAGGGCATATTATTCTAAAGCTCTTGTGAAATTCCTTCATTAAACTCCCTCTAGCAAGCAATCTCAAATTCATATAACAGTTTCATTAAAAATTGATCTCTTATGTCACCTTTCGATCTTCTTGAATAGCACAAAATAATTGACACATTATCAAAAACGACAAAATCATATTACATTCACAGATTTGCAAAAGTTTGAGTATTATTCTTGAATGAATTTTTTTTCTCAACTATACTCATTAATCGCAATTCCATGTTCTTCCTTGAATCATGCCTACACTCATATAATTTATTGAAAAACTTTCATATTTACACTTCCTTGTATTTTAGCCAATTTGTTGCTCCACATAATATAAGATGATTAGGATCATATCGATCACTTTTACATTGTTTTTATTCCAATTTCTTAGTCCTCTAACTTGATCTCCCTGGAAAATGCTTCTTCATCATCTGACATTATCCCATGAATCATCATTCTTCATTTATTCTTGTTAAGTGCTATATGAGGTGTTTAACATATTTTGGATAATTTTTTTACCCAACTTCTCTCCATGGTACCCTCAATCAAGTAAACCAATTTGTACAAATTAGATGTTTGTAATAGCAAGTCAACCTTTTTAGCCTTCAAAAAATTCTACTCCAATCATCCTTCTAATATAACAATTTCTCCAAAAAAAACCTTCCTTCTTGTCTATTGCAATATAGTGTCTTAAAATCCTTATTTCGCCAACCTCAATTTAGATATAAGTGAATTCTACGCCACACAATGCTGATAGATTAATACAATTTACAATTTAATAGCAATTATATAAAATTTAAAATTTAATCAACATGATATTTTCTTCATGATACTCTTAAAGCATCTCCCCAATTTAACACATATTCTTAAATTTAAAAGTTATATCCTCAAACTTATAAAAAACTTTTTCATAAAAAAATACAAGATATTTAATCCTTTAACTTGCTTATTATTTTAATCAATAATATTAACTTGTAAATATTAATATCACACCAATCATATTAATATATCATTTACTCAATTTTTGACATATTAATAATCTTATAAACAATTTTCTATTATTCAAATATTCCACTTATTTTAATATAAGTCTTGTTAATCAAAACTATTCTAAACATGCACCAAAATGTTGCACTTTCAATATCTTATGCAAATAATTTAACTAATACAATAACATACTAATTTAACGGTGATCTTTGTTTGAATCATATTGTGGTTAGAAACTTTTTTGGTTACTGCATTAACTACTTCTAATCCTAATTAATGCATGAGCATGCCTATCTAATAAATCCAACATGTCAATGAAATGATTTCTTAATGCTACCAAACAAATTCTCATAATACCCTATCATATGTTTTCCACAAGATTAACAAACATAATAAGAAGATTTTTTTCTTTGATCTCTATACTTCTCCATTTATTGACAATAACCAAAATCCATGACAAGTGAATCTTCCTAGCATAAAACATTAAAACCAAATTGATTCACAAATATGCAAGTAATCTTTTAATTTTGTGTCCCATTACTCTCTTCCACAACTCCTCATTTATCACTTGAAAGTTTGATTCCCTTTTTTTTTATTATTTGAAGATGATTTTTCCATCTATGAAAGTTTGATTCCCTTGAATCATCACAATCATGAAAATATTACTTGCTCCTAAATACAAGTAACAAAATACTTTTTCACCAATTATTTTATAAAACCCATCAAAAATTTTGTTGAACAAAATACTTTAATATTACCACGTTTAAATTTCAAAAAGCATACAGCTACACCTTTATCTTTATTCATCTTCTTCACATCCATTCCACTTCACTTTTTTTTTAATCAAGCTCCAATCCACCTTATTACAGCCCACAATGCATTTGAAAAAAAAAAAGCCTTGCTTTAAAATCTCATTCAATAATTTCTCAGTTTACGATTCGCAAAGATCCTTGATGTGATTGTCTTTATCAAATATTTTATTTCATTATTTTTAATATATCTAATTTGATCAAAGTCTCAGGATTCTCATATATTTTCCTTAACTATTTTATATAATTAGTTTTATTCTGCATCAGGTCCTAATATATTATAAAACCATAAAAAATATTACCTTATTGTTGATATTACCCTTTTATAAAACTTCTAACAACATTAAAATTCATTGAAGTATCAAATATTATATTGAAACCCCTTAAAAGCATATTTATTGTCCGTAATAATTTTTAAACCACCACATTCCAATG